TTCTTTACTCTCTAGAGGTTTTTAAAGCAGGAGTCCCTTTTCCCATTACTTTCCCAAATATAGCTACAATTCACCTAGATTAAAACTTTTAATCTTCACATGTGTATGTATTAATAACATCTCCCCAACCAGCACTTAAGTGTAAAAGATACTTTTAAAATGTTTATAATGAGTAAAAATAAAAAATAAACACTTTAAATTCTTGATCCAGCAAACGTTCCTTCTTTCATTCATCACTTAGCTCTGTGCTTCTTTCCTAAGTAAAGTGTCCAATAAACAGGCTCAATATTTGGGCCTCCAATTCCATAAATTCATGATTCATTCACTCTTCTCACTATGCTTCTGTGACAGACTGAATTTTAGTAAGCTAGCCCTCTTCTTAATTTTCAATTGTGGAAGTACAAGGAACAGAGCCGGAATGATCTGTCACCATTTCCTAGTTTTAAAATACCACAAATTCCTTTAACTTATGACGGAACAAGAGAAATAAAGCCACTGCACTCCTCATATATGGACTTACCAAAGTTGAGATTGAGTTCCTTGTTTACATTAAGATCATTTCATTAACAGGATTCAATTTATTGTAAATATTATTATTAATAAATCAACAAAAATCTTGGGACAAAAAAATTCAGAAAAAAATCATTTTCAGTCTTTTCAGTTACAAGTTTTCAACAAAAACAGAAACAGTTACAGCATGGGGTCCTGGCTCTGGAGGTACACAGATCCAGCTGTCTGTTGAAAGTTCTTACTGTATGCCATGTGACCTTGCACTATTTAATATTTTGTTGATTAAATGAGATAACACACATAATACACTTGGTATTAATTTATCCATTATACTTTAAAATTATTTCCCCAATACTATACATAATGAAACCCATCTAATGTATTAAGAAACAGTGGAAAAATGAATAAAAATGATTTTTAATGGGAAAAAGAACTCAAGACCGAAGATCCAAATATATATAGGCAGACAACGGGATAACCATTTCATCTCAAGAAGACAATCTGCAAAAGTGACATATTTGCTTTTCTTTAAACAAATGGCTTAAACAGAAGCATCTTTAGTAGGTTTTCTCAATCACAGAAAAGACTAACATCAATCAGGCTACCCCAACTTAGGCAAATATAAACAATTAAAAACAACCAAAAAACCATAAATTAAAAATAACCAGAATACCACAGCCAAGTATTAAATGATCCCAGGCACTAACGTTCTAGAATTGAGTCACCCTGTTTGGGGAGTGGGAGGCACCGGTCTTGTGCACTGTAGGGTGTTCAGCAACATCCCTGGCCCCAGTTGCTACTAACGTGGTAACTAAGCACCTCCAGATATTTCCAAATAAGTCTAGGTGACAACCCTCCCCATACCACCTGCCCGCTCCCAAATGAGAATCACTGCACTGCATGATCTGTTATCAAGTATGAAAACTGAGATGACTAGGGTATTACTCAACACGTCTGTGAACAATGTCACTGCACAAATCTACTTCACCTGGTTCTATAGCAGCAGAAATGAGGGACTGTGCTTCTCGTACTCTTTTCATGGCTTCCTCTATCTCTTTACTAGAGGTATCTGATTTCAGACTTGGTGAAACAAGACCAGCAGCTACATGATTCAACCTGGAACAGAACCAAGAAATGAGGTCTGAACTATTTTAAAAGCGTACAGTAGCATTTCAGATAAAAATGTTTCCTGTATAACCATTTTAGTAAGATACTCCTTGGAAAAAAGGGGGGGATTCCCTCATAATTTTAGTACAACCATATAGTGTAGTAACTTCCTGAATATTTACAATAGCATCTGCATTTTAAGAGGCTTAGAGAGGGAGGGCTTAGCTCAGTGGCAGAGTGCAGGCTTAGTATGCCCGAGGTCCTGGGTTCAATCCCCAGTAGCTCCATCAAAAATAGTAAGTAAATAACAAATAAATGGTTCAGAGATACGTGAAATAAGAAGGAAAGTCTGATTTCGGTGAACATCCATTAACACATATTAAGAAAAGTTAGCACATGGGAGGATTCTTAATTAACAGAACTTTCCTTCATATGATTTAAAAACTTTCTACATTATCATAATTTTGTTGGGGAAGAGTATTACTTTTGAGTTTCCAGATGGGGAAAAACTGAAGCAGAGGTCAACAGCACAATGAAGTTACTCACAAAATTCCTGAGTGGAAAGGTTAGAGATGTACCTTAAGGGTTTATAGAAGCGACAAAATACTGTAGACACCAAATTGAGGATGGTAGCTATTTGTGGGTATAGTGGGAAATGTAAACAAGAATGAGTAGACAGGGAGTTTCAACTGTATTAGTGATATTTTACAAGCTGGGTGGGTAGATACATGCTTGGATTTTTGCCTGATAACTTTTAGGAAAAAACACCACCAACTACAGTTAAATGATTCTGTCTTGCCCCAACCCATGTTCACCAAGTTAAAAATTAGAAGCATTAAGCTCAAATTTAATAACAAGAAATTCCCAATTAAAACAGCTCATGAATTTGTGATTATCTCAGGAACGAAACGTAACAGTTACAGTGTGAAGAGGACTTTTCAAAGTACCTAAAAGGTGCTATTATTACGTGACATGTGCTACTCCTCTACCTTGGGCGAGTATATCCCTCACTTGTGTCTTCCTTTTTTATTCATCTCCTAAGGCTTAGCTACTCTGACCTTTGAACTAAATTGTCCTCCCTGTAATAAGTTCCCATAGCTTTACTAGTTAATGTCTCCCTTTCTGACTAGAGTATAAATGCTATGAAGGTAGAGGCTTATAGCAGACACTCCATATACCTTTTTAACGAATCAACTAAAGATAACATTTAGTTCTTTTCCTGTCATCCTGGTATAAGCTATATTTACAATGATTTTCAAGGAAATTACACCAAAACAAAACCGTTATAGATGAGCTTACCTATGGATTTCTCCCTTTGTTTCTAGGAAACAGAATTATGTATTGCATGACTTGAGATAACTTTCTTTCAGCTATCAAAAAAAAGCTGTTCTCTAGACATTCACATACTGTATCTGTATCACCAATGGAAACAAAGAAAATATCCTTACTTGGGATCAACAGTACTCATAAGTTTCAGCAACTGATCCGCAGCAAGAGACTACAAAAACAAAAATGCAACAGTGAGAACACGTAAAACAAATGACTGCTATTTAATTTTTTTAGTATGTTGAAATGTCCTAAGACAACCCAGTGAACCCACAAAACTAACACATTCCAGGTACAACGGTGACCAGCAGAAATATAATGCCAGCCTATCATGACATATTAAGTTTTCTGGTAGTCACATTAAAAAAATAAAAAATAAAGACATTAGAGACTATAGTAATAGATATCCAGAGTTGCTTTATCAGGTTAAATATGCAGATTATGAAGCTGAATAGTTTAGATTTTTCTAAACTATTAGAAAACTATTAGAAACTATTAGAAAAATAGTTTAGAAAAATAGTTTAGTTTCTATTATCTCTTGGGTTATTTTACCACTAAGGGAAAGGAACATTTAAAACAAAACTCAAAGTGGTTAGTCAGTAAATAATCAAAAGATTTCCATAAAGTAAGGACTTCAGAAAAAAATTTAGCCAAATTGCAATGAGAGAAAACAAAAATTTCCAAGTAAGTGGCAAGAAAACGAATTATGAATCCACGTTCCCATCCTCTCATGACTTTTATTCTGACTTTATAACACACTGATGAGATGCTGCCTTCCTGTGAGACTACTTTCTATTTCGAACTTTATAAAATGAAATTCTTTGATGGCCAAGGGGCAAAAATAATGCTGTGACTTTCAAAATCTCTCATTAACAAGTTTACATTAAGAAAAAATTATTTCTACAATATAACAACCAGTTATTTCCTGCTCTTGAAATGTTAAGTAACATTTAATGAAATAACTCCTTTAATTACAAACACGAGCTCAGAGTTGAAGGGTATTAAAGTTATACCTGAGAGTTCAAGTTTGCTCCAGGAAGCCCAAGTGCAGCAAGGGCAGGATCAAGAGTAGGAGCTCCCAAAGCAGCCAATGGAACGGCGCCAATCTGCAAAATTTCAAATTTTGTTTAAATCCGTATGCTGTGTGAGCTCTGCTGCAACTAATTTAACTATGTCACTGTAGATCAAAAGCAATTATAGACAATCCATTAACAAATGGGCATGGCTGTGTTCCAAAAAAATTGGCAACAAATGGGGGCCTGGCCCAAGAGCTGTAGTTTGCCTACCCTTGCTATACATGACGGCCTCATTCTTCACTTATTACAGGTCACACATTTATCCCTAAAATGAGAATTTAGAAAAAATACAAAGATTCTCAATACATTCTTGTGCCATTTATAAATACTCATTGCTTCTTAGTGCCAAATCTAGCGCTTGTTGCCCTGCTGTAAGATACTGAAGGCAGGACCCTTATAAGCACTTCTCCTCTGACAGCTGGCCCAATGTTAGGCTTTATCTGCCAGGGGAGCTGGAAGGACACTGACTATGGAAGGGGTTTCTCTTCCTGGTTCCTACGTCCTTGTTCTGTTCCTGCAGTGCCACATAGGACACTGACTGGCTTTCACCTCAGTGAGCTGCAGTGCCATTCTCTTAGGTGGCTTCTCAGCAAGTAATGTGGATAGATAGAAAATTTTTACCATCTGTCCTTTTGAAGGAGGTTTAAATCTTAGCCTCAAGGGGGAAGAGGATCCCCCCCATATAAATGTTTCTTTCTTGTGTTTTCTTCCTCAAGCCTAGAAGCAGTGGTTGACTCCTCTACCTGCAATTCCTGAACCTTGAGCGCTCCCCTGGTAATCTCCTGTTACTTGTTAGTAATTCCTTAAACTTTTCTTCTTCAAGTTATGTTATTTGACGTAATTCTGATTAATTTAATGCACACAAACCATGCAAAATCCTATTGTTTGGAGGCAGTGTGACCTTCTCCACACGCATTATGCTTAAAAGTTCTCCTAGTTTCATTATTATTCAGTAAATACAAGGTACCAAACCTCTTGTAATTTAACTGTCTACTGAGTACAGCTGAAATACTGTTAAAACAGTTGATCTTAGCACAGGAGCTAGGAGTGCTGACTCCCCGAGTAGAAAATCCATCTATAATTTTATAGTGTTACAGTCAGCCCTCCGTATCTGTCATTCCACATGCCTGGATTCAGCCAACCTTGGGTTGTACCGTACTATGTCTCAACTGAAAAAATTCCCGTATAAGTGAATCTAAGCAGTTCAAACTGATGTTACTCAAGGATCAGCTGTACTATTTAACAATGGCTTAGTCATTACACAATTATATACATCAAAGGCATCTACAAATTACCCAGATTCTTGAATTTAAGTCACCTTCTTAATAACTGAAACCCCAAGATAAGAGCAAAAAAAAAAAAAAGAAACAAAGAAAAAAAGAAAGGAAAGATTAAACTTCACCTTAATTTTTTTTTCCTCCCAGGCCAAATGAACATATCATTTTAAACAACATGCTCAACAGAAATCTCATGCCTCAGGAGATCCCCCCTCCCCACATACTTACAGGCTATTTTGAGAACTGGTGACAAAACTGATAAAATATAATTTTCAGAATGTTCTTAAGATGCAAACTTCCAAGAGATTCTTTTTAATATTTATGATTACAGTACAGCCTTTTACAGTGCTGTAACCACATGATAACATGTTATGACCGAGAATCACAAGAGCACTTAAAAAGCTCAAGTATTTTTAGCTTTATCCACAATTCTGTGTTCCTCTCCACCCTCTAAGAATTCAACAGAATACCTGGGTAAGTGGGTTAGGTGTAGGAAGGAGTCCACCACCAGGCAGAAGACCTGCCACTGCGTTAGCTGGTGCCAACAGAGACAAAGCCTTAGTCTCATCAGGAATAACTCCTGCAGAGAAACATCCCTGCATTAGAACACACTCTTTTGCAAGACAGAAAACACACAAAAACACCCAGAAAATGTCTCCCTGAAACACCACCTGAGTTTGTTGAAAGTACTTATGTTCGCTAAAATATAAAGCTTGATTTCTATGATTTATCATTAATTTTATGTCAGAATGAAACTTCAATGTGTGAAAATCTGTTTCCTTTTTCTCTATAAATGGTTAAGTTTCTAGAGTAAAAAAAAAATAGCACAATACACACTACTTTTTTGTTAACACTGCCAAGATTTCATCACCTGTACTCGATTTTTAAGTCATGAACCAAACGTAAGCAAGCACAGTCGGTTCTCCAGGGGTGTGCTCTCAACTTTCAAAAGCTGTTTTATGAACAACGACTCGTGTCGGCTGCTTCACTATAAAGCACACAGAAAAATCAAGATACACAAGACAAAAAAAGTTTGATTTAGGGGTTAATAATATGGTACAGTTACTACGATTTTCTTTTACACCTACCATACAAATTTCGTAAAATTAAGAGAAGAAAAGTATGTAAAGGAAATATTCTGTTGGAATCAAGCGTAGGGCTTTTGCTGACTCATGAAAATGAACATGAATGTTTCTGAAGGTCTCTGAATACACACAGGATGTGTGTGCAGGAGTGAGAGAGAGAGAGAGAATAGGTAAAACAACATGGCACATTCCTTACCTGTACAGTAAAATGCTTTATGCTCCAGTATGTGCCATGCTAACCGTACCAAAAATACTGCTACATAGTGTCAGTTCAAAAGCTAACTTAGCCAAACTCCTAAAGCCAAACACGACATGTATGTCTGTTTTTAAAGCCTAATCTGTGTATTCAGATAAAATCTAAGGGTCCTAAGACAAATATTTATGTAGACAATTTAAATTCTATCCAACAGCAAAAGCCCTATATAGATGGATTAATCTGTTAATGTGCCCAAGCCCCCAAAATGAGAGTTCAATATACAATTAAACTACATATTTGCAAATACCAGTAGTATTTCTGTAATACATATTAAGAAACTGCATCTCATCATAAAACATACAATATGTACAGGGCACTTAAGAGAAACTGGATAAGCTGCAGAAGAAAACTGTTGGGTGGTATTTTCAGCAGGGCCTGGTATATAGTTCAGGCTGAACCAGGGAAAAGAACTGTAAAACACAACAACAAAAAAGAAAAACCACTGTTAAATAAAGGTAATGGTTCCTTCCACCTAAACTGAGAAGTGCCGATAATATAAACAAATGTATACTACACAGCACTGTTATCTTGCTTGTGTCAGAGCTGTCATCAATTTAGATACCAAGAGTTATGGAGGGGGGAAGGGGAGAAGATCATTTAGATATAGGGCATTAATGCATTATTAACAAACCTACAAAGATTATGGGATAATTTTGCATGCAAAATTATGTCTCAAGAGGATAATATTAAGTATCAACATCTTACTCAAATTAGTGCATTTGTAACATTTCTGGCAAACTAAAATCCTCTTGAATTTACTGTGAGACACCTGATAGAAGATCTGCATCCATTAAAAAAAAAGTCATGCATCTGATCCTCTGATTAAAAAAAGACTATTTAAAAATAAATCTACAATTTAAAAATAGCAATGAGGCCCCTCACCAGTTAATTTTCATGCGTCAAGAGTATATTTTTTACTGCTGCTTTGATAGAACCATGAAATACTGCATGAATGTGTAGAAACGAAAGAAAAAGAAACAGACAAAAGAAACAAACATTAACCAAGGAACCTAAATAATCCCCAAATCCATTACTATTAAGAGTTCCTTCCAAATCCAGCTATCTCAGTTTTACCAATTAAGACTATTCCTTACCGTAGACCTTGTGTCTATTGTTCTAAAACACTGACCAAGAGTCAACACCAACGTGTCAGAGCTAAAACCAGGGTGAATGGTGACAAAGGGATTGAGTACATCAGTTGTTTAGTGGAGGTTATCAACATTAATACAGCATACCATACCAGTAATTAAGTACACCAAAAATAGATTCTGGAACTAAATGTTTCTGTAATTCTATATATGTTCCTAAATATTTCACTTTCAAAACAGATCCAGAAAAATTACCATGACATAAAAATACTTATGAAAGCCAGTTATATGATATACTGTATTATGTTCAGGGCTTGGGAACTATGACATAACACTTACTCAGTAAGAATTCTTTAAATTTAAAAGCTAACTAATGTTTTGCACATTACTCACATGATTTGACCCTTGTTCCAAAAGCTAAGTCTACATTTGACTTATCCTAAATTGGAATTCTGTAAATTTTCTCTTGGTGGTTAAGTCTTATCCAACAGTCACACTGATATAAAACAAACTCATAAGTCTACCAGCATATATATATATTTTAAACTATTAAAATTGGGTTCATACACTTTAATATTATGGAGATAGATGTAGTTATTATATAGCATGCCTTAACCCACCTATGAATGCAATTTAATTTCTTTAGAAAACCAGAGGCAATTTTTCTAAGTTTTAAGGACTAGACATTTCACAACGTTTACAAGGAATGGTGTAAATGTTCACATCAGTATTCAGAGATCTAAGATAGCATCTAAAGTCAACAATATCAAGATTCTGCTTCCACTGACCAGTTCAGCAAGGAAAGGGGAAAGCATTTAAATCCTGGTCAGAATACACGTTAATAAAATTCAGTAATTTTAACATATTTCAGTGATTTCCTTGAATAAAATTTATAGTTACCAAAAAGCAAACGAAGTAGCAATACACTGGGAACAAACTGATTATAAGACTTAGAAAATTTTACAAAATGGAATTAAGAGTGCTGTCTCGTCACAGTGGCTTTTTTAGATCCAAAAACCCTGCTCATTATTTTTCTGTCAAATTACTTTAACAGCCTAAAATGTAAAAAGAGAGAAAATGTAGTTAACAAATGGTTACACCAGGAAAACACTTGGGGGACTTGAGTGCTTGCTGGCCTTTAGTTAATGTCTAGAATCCCCTGTAGCTGCAGAGGACCCACTGTTTTTCAGTCATCTGGAAGAGTTTTGCATTTGCCTTCTCCACTACAAAAATCACACACACAAATAACAGAGAGAAGAATTTATTATTTAGAGATATTCTAGAAAATATAGCAAGAATGAACAAGAAATTTTGGCATAAAAACAAAACACCCAGTGCCCATCTGGCACCTAAGCTATAGAAAATCTTGAACTTTCATAAAAACCAATATCATTGCGACCCTTGGTATACTGGAATTCAATGTGGGTTATATACATTTTTTAAGTTATCAGTGAGTGAAATCACTAAGAGGAATCACTAAGGAAATAAAACTAACCTAGTCACACATTTATTCAAAACAGAAATAACATCATGCATTTATTTGAAGGTTTCTGTGAAAATGTGCATGGAGTGAACCATTCACCTTCAGGACTTTTACATAAAACTTAACATTAAATTAACTAGAGGTATCTTAAGGAATTACAATTAGGGATACGGTTTAAATGAACTTACTAATGTTTTAAAAGAATGCAAAAGGTTAAATATCTTATAAAAAACACCTGATTTTTTAATTCTTAGAATTAAAAAAAAATCTTCAAGTAAAAATATGGACTGCAGTATAACAAGGGTTTCAAAATGTTAATAGCTTAAATTTTTAACATGCTACTAACTCTCTCTCTAAAACTATACTGAGGTAGATGGTCATCATAGGATGCCCACATAGGTAGTTAAACAAAGCACAAACCTTCTGCATATGGTACGACTATCAAAGCTCTGTCAACGAATACAGTGTTTGTCAGATGCTGTGCCACAACTGCCGAGTCCGGATCATGAAACTTAACAAAGCAGACACGGGATGAGACTGGCAAAGGCGAATCACTAAAAAATAAACAGATAACATAAAAGAAGAGAAAAATATCAGCTGAAACACGAATGATTCACAAACAGCATTTGCATTCCAGAAGTAAAAGAGGCACATAAAAATACATGATAATACGTATATTACTTTAGTTAACCAGTTAAAAAAAAAAGACACTTCCAATACAGTATTACCCACAGAACTGACAAGAAATTGCACTTAGACAAAAACAATCACTGTTTAAATTTACAATGTATTAAGTTAAAAACAGTTAGACACCAACCTCTCAGAGTTTGAGCAGACCACAAAACAGTTAACATTTATTTCATAATACAAGAAATAGCCACTTTAAAATACAGGTACCAAATACTTAGTTTGAACTTAAAAAAACTTTTCATTATGGCTAACTTTTCAGAGTTAAAATGAAAAATTTCCACTCCAGAGACAAAAGAATATTGTGGGAAAGTACATCTATTTGATAGCCAATGAGTTTTCTTGACTAAATTCCCTATCCTTTCACCTATAGCATATTAGAACTCCTAGACATTATAATTAAGGCTCTCTCACTTAGAGCACTTCCACAGAAGCAAAAATATTAAGTACACGTGGGGATAATACTCAACAGCACCCTTCCCCTTACTATTAGGCAAAATTTCAATGAACAATAAAAGATCACTTTCCTCAGCAATTGCTTTCTTATGTAAAACAAAAACAAGTTGCTAACGTGCAAGCAATGGCAGCTCTAAGAAAGACAGATTAGGTAGGGAGCAGGGTTGTTCTTTTTTAAAATATAGGATGTTTAAAATTTTTGCCACTAAACTCTCCGTGAAGGAAAAGATTTAAATAAAAGCATCGGTTGCTCTCCAACACCAAACCAAAAGCTATTTGAAAATCAATGTCCTAAGGCAGTAGTAATCATGTCATCCCTGTTTGACATCAGTGGGATGATTCCAATTAATATTCCAATTAAATCAAGATCGCTGATGAATGAAGTACTGAGCGCAGCCTCCTTCTTTAACTCTCCCTGGCAGTTTAATATGTGCCCTTGGTAAAGAATCACTGCTTTATTATAACAAGCCAATCACATCTTGAGACTTAATAAATGAAGAGGGAAATCCTGTAATATTTTTGAATGTTATCAGAAGGGGGTCTTTGTTAACTTTTCTAAGCAAATAAGCTTTTCATGTGTATATAAAATTTAATTACATCAGATTTGGTCACATTAAGTATTTCAGATAAAAGTATTTGCTGATGAGAAGAAAAATTCTTATTAATTTGGACACAACACAAAAATAAAAAATTCTTATAATGTGAAGACTAACAGGAAACTATACAACCTGAGAACTCTAACCCATTCCAGTGTCTAATGTAAGTTTCCCTAAGGGCACTGTCCACAAGCACAGATTCCTATCAAGGTTCAAAGCAAAGCTGTCAACATGTATATCCAAATGGTTTACCACATCTTATAGAAGTTTACTGCTGAATGTTTCTGAAAGCATCACTGGTCTAAAATTTAACTACACTGCCCCAGCGTAGTGGAAAAACACTGCTTCCTTAGTCTTAGAACTAAAGCTACACAGCCCTTTGTCTTTCTTTTCTGACATATATGTTAACCACTAAATTAGAAAACTCTATTCAAATGCTGCTATCATTTTATGTTAACACCTAATGTAAGTAGTAAGCACTTAAGTTTCTTAAAAAGTAACGTCTACCATTTCTTTGACACCATCTATTGCCATCTAACTGAAAGAAAAAAAGATAATCAAATATTAGGTTCTTAAAATTAGGAAAGTATGCCTACGTGCTCCCAAAGTATTTCTATTTACTAGGATATCTTAAATACTCACATGTTTTTTCTACCCACTCATGTATGTGCAGCAATTATTTAGCTCTATCAAACCTGTAAGTGGTCGTGAGGTAAAGATACAATATGAACAATTTTATTATCATAGAAAAGAGAGTCACAGTAAGACAATTTAAAAGGGCAAATAATTCTTCTCTCCTCACTTTAAATGGTTGTTTAAAACCACTGCTATTTGGTCCCATGATTATATTGTTACATTTCCTAGTTAAAATCAGTAAAAATCACGTTAGGAAAAATGATTGTCTTTAGTCCTTTAAGAATTAAAATAGAAGAGACAGTGCAGCTGAAAACCACCGAGTAAAACAGGGAAAAGTGAGCCTTGTGTGATGCTCCTGTCCTTTACCTAAGAGTGGTGGTGGACTGTTTCTAATGTTTCTTCAAGTGTTTTCTAAGGGTTGTTTCAGAATCCTCTGCGGTGAACAAAGAAATTCAGATTTCTCTTTTCCTTCTCAAGCCCTGAAAACTCTTTTTTTAATAGGAGGGCTCTGATTCTTAACAAGATCCCTACTTGATGTTTGTGCCTGCTGAAGAGGGACTTCTGGTTTGGGCTAATTCTTTCAACTCCCACTGTAACACTGTGCTAACCATTTCTGAGTAGAGAATTTTGAGCTTATAAACAAAGCATATACTAAGCCTAACAAAACGGCAAGTGTGTGACAAAGGTAATGACTCCGTTGACCTCACAGCCCTTCCCCTCATTGTCTTAATTAGTTCTAAAAAATTCAGCAGAATGCTGCATTGATTAAAAAAATGTTTAAAGGTAAACCAAGTTCTCTCCCATACCTAACTTATACTGAGTTACTTATATGATTGTTAAAGTGTTTACTTTCGTCATCAAAAAGTTATTAATTAATTTAAATTTATCTGCAGCACTAACAGTAGCCTTCAGTTACTGCATAACTAACATGTGGTTATTTGGGATCATTACCTGATAAGAGTTCTGGTTATATTCTCCATTCTGAAATCCCACGAAAACCAAACATTTGAATAATACCTAGTAGGTGCAAAAGAATGATTCCACTCACAAGTTGCTTGGCTAATCAAGGAAATCCTGTTCAACTGGTAAAGAAGAATCACAACACTGGGATTCAAATACTAGCTTTGACACTGGTAGAGGGGTGTGGGTATACAAAACAACCTATGTGAATTTCAGTTCACTCACTTGTAAAACAGGGTAAAATGCCTTCCTCCTCTGGATTTGTAAGGACTGAGCAAGATAAAATAGGAAGCATCGAGCATACAATAGAGAAACAACGTTGAATTTCCAATATGCATTTTAGTAAAAACTAGAATCCAAAGTAACTTTTTCTTTTAAAAAGGAAGAATGAGGGAACACTGACAGATGCTTTCAGATAGCTGTAGGTAGGGTTAGTAACACTGAAGAGGGGTATAGAATACTATTTCTTGTGAAGAAAGAGCATATTATTACCGGGTGAAATCACATTCCAACGATTTCTGGCTTAAAAGAACCAAGAAATAGATGGATTTAATAATGAAACAAAGGGAGAAACCTTCTTGAAGAGGTTGTCACTGCAATGTCTGAAAATACCAGATTCCAGGAATTTCTCCCCTGAAACAGGTATTTAGAACTGACATTAGAGTTTCAGTTGGTGTGGTCTGGGGCTTAGTCATATAAGGTACTTTAAAAATGCACCTCAGGTGATGGCGATAACCCCAAGCGAATTCATATTCTAGAAGAGGAAGTTAAACTTGTCAGTTGGTGACAGAGGAAAAGCAGTTAAGTTGAACAGAGAAGGCAGGGAGCAGGGGTGTTGTATTTTTGTATAGGGTGATTAGGTGACACTGGAGTAACAAAAGGAAGCAAGCACGCCAGGGGCATATCTAGGGATAAGAGTTCTAGGTGGATATGAATGACTTTTGGGAAAAATATACCCACGCACCCATAAAAAATTCAAATAGCAAATGTGCTTACAATCAGTAGAATTTTACATAATCTGAGCTATTCAATCTTACTCTATAAGAGTAAATTTTTGGAAAAAATTTTGGAATGATGAACCAACCCCTTTAGACTATCAGGACTCTACAGTACATTGGCCCCAGCAAGCTACTGTTGAAAACTGTAGCCACCTTAAATACACTGTCATATAGTATTTCCAAATTGTGCAGGTCAGATAAGCTATTGAGACTTAAATTAGTAAAAACAAAACAAAACCAAAAGCCAACATTAAATGAAAAGTAAGCATCTACATTCATACTATTCAAACTGGAAAAGTCACTGAGGTAATGCAACATTCACTATCTTGTAACTTTGTACATTTTCAGAAGAGAAAATGATCTTTACGTGGGAGCATATATGAAGGAATCAAAGAACAAAAATGTGTCAATATTTATCTCTTCTTCCCAATATAGGGAAAGGAATCCTCTTAATGCACAGCACCCAGATCACACTGCCTGGTGCATACAGTGATCCTGGTTATTGATGGAACCACTCCTTTCCCTACAGAGCAAAATGCCAGACTCTGGTTCACAACTCCCTCTAAAGCATGGACCATACATTAACGTAAAAGAATAACCAGTAAATTACCTACACCTTTCTTTGTCATCTATTTATAAAAGCATAAAGAGAACATTTTCAAAATAAAACATTTTAAAGTCAGCAACTATATTCTTAACGACTTGTAGGATTGGAAATAATTTTTTCATAAGTAAGTCTAATACCTCAAATACTTTAACAGGATTACAATTAAGTAAACAATAATAATCAGATGTGTCATTTTTGTTTTCCGCCATTTCACTGTTTATTAATTTTACTAACAGTAACAAATGGTATGTTGAGAGAAAATAACAGCCAAAAGCCATTTCTGTGTGTTCCTATTATGAAAGCTATTTGTCCTTCATTCTCAAAGTAAATTTCTGTTCAAAATACTGTAACAAAAGCATGTTTGGTTCCAGAATTCTACACTTTCATGTAAATTAATAACTCTGAAACCTCTCTCCACATGCATATTAACACCAAAATTAAAGACAACACAACATTTGAAAACACTAACAATCATTTGAAATTCTTTTAAAGTAGAAACTGATAAAATATAGTTAACACTTAACAAATAACAGTTATGATCAATTTCTATTACTTATTTGAGAGAAGTGTACAGAGATTAATGATTTATTACATCTACAAAAGTGGATTCCTTGAGGATTCCAATTTCCTGTTTAGTACTTAAGTGACATCATAAAAGTCTCATAATTCAGCGGATACTGAATAGCCACTGACAATAAAATTTGAATTTTCACTCTTCCCAGAGAGCACACAACTGTTTTATCGTTTCAAATTTTTGTTCCAATATATATCACATCTTGTCACAGCTTCTATACATTTTCTCTTCACGATTATTACACTCATTTAATACTTCTGTGATTAAAAAAAGAAATGAGACAATAGGATAAAAACAAAAAGACATACACTCTAAATTTTAAAATTTAACACTATAAAATTCCCTCGGAGGAGCAATTCTGAAATCTCACAAATGTGTACATTATTTAAACAAAGGAAAACCCTAGGTTTCAGCTGTTAACTCATTTTGTCATTATAAAAACTACTGAAGCTCACTGAATTGTCTGTCAAAAAGAGTATTAACTCTGAATTATGTTCACCGGGCCAGGATCACTGAACAGTATTTATCAATAAGCGAACAGCAGCCCACAAAGTTCAACATAAAGTTAACACAGAAATGAATAATCTTCGAAGAACTCAAAAGAAACATTTCATTTTTTATAAAGGAGATGAACGTTTCTAAAAAATACATATAGTGGGTAGTCTGTATTGCTTTAAGAGCCCATAGAACGACCACGCTGGCGCACTTTAAGGGAAAAAAAACCCCAAGATGAGAAGTCACTGTCTCCTTATCCCCCAAACGCTGCCCCTGCCCCTTTGCATTATTAGTAGGCCGCCTACCCAGACTTAAACCGCCAGCCTTCACTAAAGCAACCTAACGCAGGGCAGCACGGACAACGGCCTAGGAAACGGTGTGGTTAGGCCCACGCTGGGGAGGAGTTAGCAAAAATGGTGATGGTGGACGATACTCACTCAGGCGGGAAGAGGCGCAGTTCGTCGATCTTGCCTAGGAAACCGAAGAGGGTCCGCATCTGCTCGGAGCTAGCGCTCGGGGAGACATTAGTCACCTGGATCACCTCGGTGCCACCGCCGCCGCCGCCTCCG